CGTCCCCCCGCCGCTCCGCCAGCCGCCGCTTCAGCACCGCCCCGACGTCGCGCGCCGCGGCCTCGGCCTCCGCGACCACGCCCCTGAACGCGCCGCGGTGGCCGTACTTTGTCAGCAGCGGCTGCGCGTCCGCGTAAAACTCGACAGCGCTGTCCAGGGCGTCCTCCTCCAGCGCGGCCCGCATGCGGCGCGGCAGGTCAAACACCGCCTGGCGCGCGGGGCCGCGGCGGAAGGGTGTAATTGCGTTGGTCGTGGTGGCCGCAAATGAGCCACGCAGGAATAGACGAGGAGGGGTGCGGTAGCCAGGAAAATGAGCACCATGAGGAGCAATTACTCAGGCTGCCTCCCAGGTGCGAAGAGATTAAGGGCTCAAGAAATACGAGCTACCAGGGCGCTGCGGGGCCCTGCTCGCCTGCAGCTTGGTGAGCAGGTCGCCGACGCGCCGCAGCTCCTCGCAGTGCTGCCGCCGCCGCTGCAGCTTGGCGTTGACGGACGCGCTCTTGTCCGCCACGTCATCTGCGGGAGCACACGCCAGCCAGCGGCGGCGGCGGCGAGAACACAGCCAAGGGCGGGATTCGGGATGAGAACAGGTCTTCTGAAGCTGCCAGCCTTGACCCATTTGCTGGACAGCTGCGACCCGCTGCCTCGAGCCCCCGTCCGCAACCGCTCGGGGCGCCTGCCGTGTTGGCCCACCTCTCCCTTTTCCTCTCGAACCCGGCCCCTCAACCTCCCGCCCTCCACCCACCCATGATGCCCTTGAGTTTGTCCATGTCCCCCTCCATGCCGTCAACGTTGGACTTCATCACCTTGATCGTGTCTGGCCGCGGTATCGGAGCAACGGTGCGTTGCAGGAGTGTCAGCGACAGACATGGTGGGCTTTTTCTGCTCCCTGGGTACACAGTGAGGCCCGCTGCCGGCCCTGGCTTTGCAGGAGCCAGCTGCCCTAGGCTTCAAACAGCTCCAGGCATTTGAAACCCAAGTGCCCGCATGTGTGCGCGCGTGCGCATACACACACACACACACGCGCACACACATACATACACACACATACATACACACGCATGCACACACACACACATATACACAAGCGGGCCTGCGTGTGCATGCGCGTGCCGCATGCTCATGCACGCACGTGCACACAAACGCATGCACACCCTCACACTCACACGCACATGCGCGTGCGCAAAACGAGTCGCACACACCACCGCTCACCCGTGGCGGCTATGAACTTGTTGTAGTTCTCATACACCAGCTGCTGCATGTCGGAGTCCAGGTTTTTGATCTCGCGCGCCATGCCGCGGTGCTCCGTCAGCAGGCGGTCCAGAGAGAGCCCGCGCAGCATCTGCTGCAGGTGGTAATCTGCGTTGAAGGCCGGGCTGTCCATGCTTATGGCCAGGCCGCCGCCGACCCGCGCCTGCGGGGCGCGCGGCGGCGCCGTCGCCGTTGCGCCGCTGCTGCCGCTGCCGGTGCCGGGGGAGCCGGCCGCATGCGCCGCGCGAGGGCTGACGCCAGCGCCGCCGGGCGTGCCGGGCTGGGACGCGTCGCCATAGTAGCTGGAAAGAAGGTTCTTGATGCGCGCAGTGCGCTTGGCATAGTCATCAGTCTCCGCCATTGTGCCGACGCTGCCCGTGCGATCGGTTGCAGCAGCAGCAGCACGCACGGTGCGCCCGCGCCCGCGGCCTCGATCGGGCCGGGCAAGTCGGCTAGTAGCAGTAGGGATCGATATTAATTTGCTACACGTCTGCCGCTCCTGCTACTGCCCGCGCTGTCGATGCATATAGTCAAGCACGCCCGTCTACAATAGGACACCGGCGAGCACACACGCATACTCCATGGTTGGTAACTGGTGATTGCAGCGTGTAGCGGCAGTCCACTTGATAAGCGTGCGATGCTCATACAATCAACCTGACTGAGATCATCCCAGCACCAGCCCAGCACATCCCAGCACTACCGTATGAGCCTATGGAGCTGGCTGGTAGTGGCACACGGTGTGGCTAAGAAGATCTCCAATATAATTCTGTTGTTTTTTAAGTTGCCGTCAAGGCCTGGGCCGGTGGGTGCAGCACAGCCTGTGCAGCCCGGGTTAACGGAGTGCTTGATTATCATATTACCGCCTGGAGCACGGCCTGCGTGGCGAGTTCCCTTACACCCTGGCCTCCCGGTGAGAGCCTTTGCAATACATATTGCGGAGAGGGTAGCAACACATCACCGGCATTAATACCAGCTATTCCTGTGGCCTGCCCCATTTGCATGCAGCCAGGATCACATGAGCGCCTTAGTGTGTCGGCTCCGTGCCATCCTAATCCCTTCTCCTGTGAACTGCAGGCCATGCCTGAAAGTAACTCCAGGAAAATTTGCTTGAAACAACATGAATCTGACGGCATGAGCAGATTATGACCTGTCCTTCCAGCTGCCAGCTGCCGAACTCGTAGATAGTGGAGCCACGGCGCACCGTATGCCGCAGAATGCTGGCGCCGATAGATGGGGCCAATTGCGTGTGCAGCCCTGCAATCCTCAAACGCGGTGGCACGCCTTGCTACACGAGTTGCTGTAGAGAGCGCGAGTCAGTTCAGAAGTGCTGCGCCGTTGGCTGTTGGTGCTGCGCAGTTGGCAGCACCTGTGCGGCTGTGCCCAAGCCAGCCATGTGATGCTCGCGGGTTGCTCTCAAGGAGGAATGACAGCTGATAATTAGCGAGGGGGGTATTAGGGGGTATGAGTTAGATCATGCGGAATCCCTCGCTCTTTCATCCTCCATCTGCCACATCGACATCCGGCATCCCCCCCCCATACGCAGCAGAACGCCGACCACAATAACCAAGTTTGGGGCAATCAAGAGGTGCTGTGGGGGCTTGTATTTGTTGCTTCTGCTTTGATTTTCAGATACGGGCGCTTCACCTGCGAGTGTGAGTTTGTTCAGGGCGTCCGTGCCTCAATACACACCAACAGTGCCCAAACAACTCTGAATCTGCAGAGAGCAGAAAAGCGCACAGCAAACCAAGCAGACAGAGTGTCACTGTTACTTGGCAGAAAGGATGGCTGGCTGCTTGTACTTGTGTACTTGAGAGCCAGCTAAAATCATGTGTGAGTCACTTTCGTTGCGTTCCTGCGGCCACCTACCCATGCCTGCATGCTAAAGTCAGCGGCAAGCCGCACCTCCTTGCCCACCTGCGCAGCAGCCTCTGCAGCGTCCAGGACAGCATGTGTGGGAAAGGCATTTGTCGCGTCCTATTAGGCCAGCAGACTGGAGCAGCGCCTAGCTGCCGCGGGTGTCCTGGCTGGCGCAGCTTGTGTATATATGCATGGGGTTGCCATTTGTGAAGGTGTAGTGATGAGCGCCGCAGGCGCCATTGGGTGCAAAGCGGCTCAAGCGATCCACAAGTTTGGACAGGAAAAGAAAATTTGCAACAGCAGTGCCGCAGTGCTGTTGCGACTACCTCCACGCACAGCCACCTCCACGCACGGCAGCAAAGCAAGCAACATTTTAATCCTTGTCAGCCATATGTCCTTTGTGCCGCTTATAATCTGTGTGCTAGGGCGTCAGAGCATCGTCAAGCGGTTCGGATTGGTCAGGCAGGCATCCAGCCGCACCTCGTGCCCTTCCCGCCCTTTGCATGAGCGTGGTGGCTGTCCGCTCTCTGCACCAACATGCCTGCCGTGAGCGGTGTGGTGGTGCCAGCCCACAAAACCTGCCATGAGTGTTAGCCCACCAACCCTGCCGCACAGCCTCGCCACACAGGCCACCACGATGGTAGACGCGTAGCCTTTGCCGTCTCGCTGCGCACGTCTGCAGGGAACCCCGGGTGCTGCACATCGCTCGCAATCAAGTCAAAAAAGAGCGGTCGAGTTTAGTTTACGAGCACACTGCGTTGCTCAAATCGTGGAACTGAGCATGTCCGGGTTGATAAATTTATGAAGAGCGGTTCCTTTCATCGCAGGTGGCTCATGGCGGATGCAACCGTGGCGGAGAGGTTTCAGCCGTCAAGTACGTATCAAGGCGTCTGTGGTTCGAGCCCTGGTGGAGCTGGTGGCGTGGCTTTCTCTCCGTGTGCCGCAGAACACGGGAAAACCACCTCTGGTGTACCCAACTTGCTTCGGCGGGTTGGTGACGTGGGGGCCCAACCCCCGGCGCTGCCGGAACAAGGGTTGGGGAACAGGTTGACGACCTGAAATAAGGCCCAAGGCTTGGCTGCGCGCCTCGCCCGTGGCTTCTTTTGTTGTTTTATTTTTTCATGAAATAGTGCCGCCTCTCCAATCGCGTGCTTACAACGCATCTTAGGCTTTCGGCGGCTTGCGCAACGTCAAGTCGGCGCCACATTGAAGCTTCACCCTGCACGGCAGTGGGCATGTATGCATTGGTGTCCACTGGTGGGAGCCTTACACATTGGTTGCTGGTTTGATGATGATGATGA